GGGAGGAGATGTCTTGGCGTGAATGCGGTGTCTGAGGCCGCCCATGTTCCCCTCAGGGCTGGTGATCTTGAAGTCGTAGCTGGTGTCCGGCTGCAGGTTTGGGATCACAGCCTTCCTCAGACGCGCGTCCACCTCCATCTTCTGCCGGTTGTACTCCACCTGAGAATGAAAGCAAAACTCACAAGCGCTTGACAATGACATCAGCCGGGCTTTCTCAGCCAGAAGTGCTCAAAGGCCTGGTTTACTAACCCCAAAACAGATGCGCTGCAGTCAGGTTTAGTGAATCTAAAAACATCCCGCCGTGTTTGGGCTGGTTTTCACAGAAACTGAAGCTCTGCTTCAAACCCCAGTGAGTCAAAATGTCACTGGATCTTCTCTCTGCATGCAGGATCATTTAGTTTGCTTAAACCTGCCCCTTTCTTACACAGCAATGCACGCTTACATTCTGTTTTTGAGTGCCTCGCTCTCATCTCAACATTCAGTCGACAACCAATGCATTGAACCGAGTTTGTCGATAATCTGTTACATGAAGACAACACGAAAGAAAAGATCTGTTGCAACTTCTGTTTCAAGACGACTTCGAGGCTTCAGAGCTTCCAATCTATTACAAGACGCAGCAGTAACTTTCAGGTTCATTTATTGATAAGACAATCCCAGAATGCACTGCAATAGCCTGAAACATTTATGTCGATAAATAAACTGCACTCACTGAGCCATTTCGATCTTATTTTCAATCAAAACTGAGATACATTAACCAAAAAACAGTTCTACTGAGTTCAAGGTTTGTTTTTGACTTCAGTCATAATCAGTGACGACATAATTGAGATGGCTTGGCATTGTGTTGACGTGTTTCCTATCGAAAGCTGGTCGATGTGCTACTTACTGCTAGCCTGAGTCAGAGGCAGATGCTGTTTATAATGAAGAGGACGTCTGCATTCTAGAGACGGCAACAAGTGAACTAAAAGCCACAAACCAATACGGATGTGTTCACAGACGTGCAGGGATTGCTGCGAGACTCACAGTGAAGCGATAGGGGGCGCTGCTCTCCGGAAACTCCCACGTCAGCAACACACTCGTCTTCGTCGCCAGATTCACAGAGAAATTCCTCGGCACGTCTGTCCAAACACACACACACATAACACACGTGAGACTCAGTGATGCAGGAACTCGAACACACACACAGATCCAGGACCGTGAGGAAGCAGACGTGCGACCGTAGAGACCTGTGCAGGGAACTGTGGGGGATGTAGAAGGTGAGCGTATGGATCCGGTGAGAGCTGGCCCAGATTCACTAGCTGCTATTGAAGGTTATTTTGAAGGAAGGAAGTCGGGGTGAGACACAAACTCAATCACACACAAACAAACACTCATTAATATGTGCCACACCTCAAACTGGACTGGGAAGTGTTGGGAAATATAGTCGTGAAGGAACTCAGTCATACCATGAACCTGAACGCTCCTCCTCCGAGACGGACTGTGACTGATGCCTGAGCACTTACCTGCAGCCGCACACATTCACACCTGCACTGTGACGGGTCGGGATGGGTCGGGTGGGGTTAGTGTCGGTGGGATCTCAGGGTTTAGTTGTGTGGCTCACCCAGGCGAGAGCACCTGAGCGCCGTACCTGTGTCGAAGGCCGTGGTTCGGTACAGCACCTGTGGGCTATACGGACCTGACCCGGCACCGTTATGAGCTGATATCCTCACAGCGTACGCCCGGTCAGGATTCAGCCCGTGAATGGTGTAGCTGGATGCATCTGCCGGCACCATCAGCGTGCGTGGTTCAATGCCACCACCTGCTTCCTCATACGTGAGGGTGTATCCGGTAAAACCGGCGTTCCGTTCCGAGTCATTCGGCGGAAGCCAGGTGAGCTGCAGCGAGCAGCAGGTGGCGTTGACGTGCTCCAACAGCTGTGGAAAACCTTTCGGAGGAAACTCAGGCACCGAAAGCTGCTCCTGAGCCTCTTCGCTGTAACCAGAGCGCCCTCTAGCGGCCAGGAGGAATGAGTAAACACCTCCAGGACGCAGGCCGGTCACGTTGTGTTGACGCTCCTCAGGTCTGAAATCCAGAGAGACAGACTGAGAGTTGTTTTTAAGGTCGTAGGTCAGACGAAAGCCCAGGATCTCCAGCAGAGGGTCGGAGGATTGTTGGTGAGTCCAGATCAGCGCAGCGGACGTCTCATTAACCAGCTGCACGGACAGAACGGGACGAGCAGGTACTAGAGGACACAAAGACGTCAGTGATCAGTGCTGTCTTCTGATTGGACAGGGCAGCTACAGTGGTGACTGTTGATATATTGTTGCAAAAATGAACCATATGTGACTATATTATCACACAGCTCTATATATAAAGTTATATATAAGTTAAATTGGTTACATCATCTCAAAATATTATATTATCGTCCAGCTCTAATCTACTAAATGCGAGGCATGAAGGCATGAAGATATAATAAACATTAACATCATGATTTTCTGTGAAGCTGCTTTGAAACATTGTGTTTTGTAAAAAGCGCTGTATAAATAAATTTGATTTGATCTCATTGCACAACTGATAACATTCAGCAACAATTGTATCCTTCATATTTTTATTATGTGGAAACTGTTTTATCAAAACAATAAGAGACCTGAGGTGGGGTTAAATAGTGAATAAAGCCCCGCCCTCCAAAGACATGTCAGCCAACCCAATGTCAGGAACGCACACAATAACTAACTGTGTTTCTGACTGGCTAGAGAACTGCAAGTCTTTTGTTCTGTTGAGTCTAGGGACAAAAGACTGGTGACTGACACACACCCGTTTCACAAACAGCACCTTCAACTGATCTGAACGAGTCTGTCTGTCCCTGAACGTCTCAACACACAGATGGACGACTCACATGCGACGGGCGTCTGCACCAGATGAGCGACGCTTTGGGCTCCGTCACCTTTAATGGTGTAAGCCGCCACACCGATGGAGTACAGCGTCTCAGGCTGCAGATCCTCCAGCATCAGCTCCTACACACACACACACACACACACACACACACACACACACACACACACACACACACACACACACACACACACACACACACACTCACACACACACACACACACACACACACACACACACACACACACAGACACAACATGAGTACTGATCTCTGACCTGACACGTGCTCTCATTATACTGTATGTTACTGCCGCATTCATTCATTCATTCTCTCCAGCAATATTTTGCTTTCATAAACTTCTCAGTCCATGATCTGTGTTCGAGAGGCTCTATGAAAGCACTCTCCAGTGTCAGAGGTTCACACACACACACTCATGCAGTGAAGCGGTTCACATCCAGCGGCTCAGATGGGCTTTGAAATCTTTCTGTCTCAGCTGTGCTTTCATAAGCTGCTCTGAACATAAAGCTGAAGTTCATACTCACGTATTGCGCCGTCTCATCCGTGTCCCTCTAACGGCGCGGCAGCACAGAGATGTGAGAGAATCAGTGATGAGAGGAGGAGAGGAGGGAGAGATTCATTTAGTGAAAAGACGAGCAATGAGCAAGAGAAGAGATGAAGCGAGATTCATTCAGTGTTCGTTCATTCAGATCAGACTGATTCTGTGCCGTCTAGAAAACTAACAGGCAGTGTAAATAAATACAAATAATATTTAACATTTATTGTTATTTTGTATTTTGAATGATACTTTGAATGCGGTTTTGGCCAGTATCGTGTAAAAAGATTCAAAACGTCAAACTAAAGTTTGACGAAACTGCATCCACAACCCATTTCACTTCTGTCATGCGATGCATCTCTGAGTGAAACGGGACATTGAATGAGAAATAAATGTAGGTCAGGCCGTGATGTTCTCCTGCTGGATTGATGTGAAAGTGTGCTTCAGCAGCTTCATGTAGAATATCAGCTGCTGATGAGACGATCACAGGAAGATCAGGAACACGTATTACGAAAGGAAATAAGATCAATTTTAATTTCATGTTGACTGAAAACATTAATGATTAAGGACCTAAAAACAACTAAATCATACCATTTATCATCTTTGGTGAGGCCATTTGTTACTTGAATGCATGTGCGAGACTCCTGACAGTCTGTTATCACATTATTTTAATGTATCATCATAATCATAAACACACCAGTGTGTAGCACAAATAGTGTTACATTTTCTTATACTTTGCTATTCTTTTAGTTATTCACCTATAGTGGCTAACGAAGCGCAAGGCTTCTGCGTTGCAAATCAAGGTTGAATAATGGTCATATATTGCTGAGGGTGCGGCGCGGTCTGCGGGGTCATGACCTCACCTGCTCATCGTCCAGCATCATGTCTTTGATGCGCGGCAGGCCTAGCGACTCCCCGTGCTCCACGCGCGCATAGTGAACCTGGTAACCGCGGATCTGCCCGTTCCGTTGCCCTGGCAACACGGAGCACCACGACACTTTAACAGACGAGCTGTTGATGGGCTGGACTTCCACCTGACGGGGCGGAGCTCCGGGCACTGCGCGCACACACACACACACACACACACACACACACTTGCATTCTTGACAAACTATTTTCCTGTTTGACTCTGTAAAGCTGCTTTGACACAATCAGTATTGTATAAAGCACTATAGAAATAAAGGTGACTTGACACTCTCTCTCTCTCTCTCTCACACACACACACACACGCACACACACACTCTCTCTCTCTCTCTCACACACACACACACACACACTCTCACACTCTCTCTCTCTCACACACACACACACACACACACTCTCTCTCTCTCACACACACACACACACACACACGGCCGAGTCTGATGTCAATGCAGAACCTTTAAAGAGCAAGTACAAAACATCCACACACTGCAGCTTTAGGGTATGTTCACACTTGTAGTTCTCTTGTTCCAGACGAAAAACAAACATGACACATTTAGTTCAGGTTTGCTCAGTGTTTACACTGACATTTTTCACACCGAACCTAAAGATACAAAACAAAAGGCTTAAGGTTACAGTCACAGCCTGATGGAACAGGTTTTATGACGTATACTTTGCAACAAAACTAAAATAATGCAGCATGCTGGAATGCACTCGACGATGTGTGCATTCATATTTCAGTCCAGAGTTTGTTATGAAGCAGAAAAGGTGGGTCTGTTAGATATTAAGTCTTGTTATCTAAAAACAATCAACCAAAATGAAGTGAGTTTATGCTTAAAACAAGAACAAATATCTGTCAGTGCTAAACTTTATCCATAGGGAAAACAAGTTTATTTTTCTGAGCCAACTGGCAGATATTTTTTGTTGGTTTAAGCAAAAACTCACTTTATATTGATGCATGTTTTTCAGAACACAAGACATAATATCTTAAAGGTGCACTAAGTGATTTCTGAAAAATGCTTTTGACCACCGAGTCCCAAAACAAACTCGCAGCCAATCAGCAGTAAGGGGCGTGTCTAGTGATGATGAGGAGAAGAGAGCGCTCAGTGAGTGCACAGGACGGATATTAGCAGATCGACTATAGATAGAAAAAGAGGAACATTTCAGAGGAACAAAACATTAAAATGAAGGGTTATGATCAGGCAAGAGGTAGGGCCGGGTAGATATCGGAGCAGCTTTCCAGCAGAAGGAGCGGAAGGGAATCGGATGCAGAGGTTGCTTTGTTTATTCTTGATAGGCGAGTTACGTTGATTTTGCTTTTTCACACAACTTTTCTGTGTTGGCTTTTGCTCGAATATGCTGCGGCTGGCAGGCATAGCAGATCCGCTATCGTCGCTGCCAGGGTTGTGTACATACATGTGGGGCGGAGTTATCACAATAGGGGCGAGGTCCTTTTGGACTATGGGCGAGTTTGTTTTGGTGCTTTTAAATATCAACATCGTTTTGCAAAAATCGCTTAGTGCACCTTTAAGTCATTTTGCTTCTCAAGTAAATGAAAGCCTTGATTTAAGAATGTTTAGATATTTGTGCATGAACTCTACTCTGAAGAACCGCCTAAAGCACCCTGAACAGACCTAAAGAAGAGGGATCTAATGCTGAACCATAGAAGAGCGTGGTGATGTGAGATTTTACCATCTTCATCTGTTCTGCATTCTACAGCCGTGCTCTCCGGTCCGCTGCCCTGCTCCGTGATCGCCGCCACTGTGATGCGGTACCGACTCCAGCGCCGCAGGCCCGTCAGGAGCATCTGTCCCGAGTCCGGCTCCAGACACAGCGTCAGCCGTGAGTCAAACTCGCCGGCGTCACCGCCGCTGACCCCATAACGCACCTCGTACCCCAGCAGCGCCGCGGTCTGCTGGTCCTCCGCGGCCGGAGCCCAACTTACCCCCAGCGAGGTGGAGCCGGCGGCGGAGCAGCGGAGCTCACGCGGAGGAACCGAGGGCTCTGACAGGAAGAGTGGAGGAGGAGGAGCGGAAGAGAGTCGAAAATACAACACAGAACATTGAGGAAGGTGGAGGAGGATAAAGAAACAGAAATGAAGCAAAATAAATCAATGCAACATAAAGACCAACGCAGAGGATGAGATACACAGGCTACAAAAATAGTATAGATGAAAACAGATCAATAAAACTAATTATGAGGCTCGAATTACATTCAACTTAATAATAAGTTGCAATGATGCAAACAAAGGAAGGATGAAGCAAAATGAAATGAAGGATGTGTTGTGATGCAGAGATGGAGGAATAAAGTGTCTGTCTGTCACGAAACAAGCATCCAATCAACATATTGGCCAGAAGAGACAACCTAATTATAGCACCGCCGAGCGTGTAACCGATAGCAGTGCTGTTGCCATGGAAACACGCTTGATGGATGGAGCGTGCTTCGGTCCAGGATCAGAATTCCTGACCAGATGGTGACAGACGGTCCGACTGAAATCCATCGGGGTTATGGAGGAGTTTACGAAGTTTCTCCTTTAATTAGAAATCTGACGAGGTTCCGCAGTTCCTGAAAGATCACACACTCTGAAGATCTTCTGAATAATACACATTCTACTCTTATGGTGAATAATCAGGAATAATAGCATCTGTCCTCCTCATTACCTCACCGTTACTGTATCTGATCACTCAACAGACATCAATGTGATGATCTGACACTGAATGAACAAATGTAAGTCTGCCTGACGACAAAGTTACAGCTTGGTTTCAATAATCCTCTAATATCAGAAAGCATCTGGTGAATGCAGAGCATCGCTGCACTAACTCTGATCTCAACCACAGCTGAATCATTCTGACGTTTATACTTGAGTGGTTATGAACGATAAAGCAAAAGAAATCACAAAAACAAACTCAACTGGATGTGGATCTAATGAGAACAAAACAACTGAAAATAAAAAAATAAGGAATCAGTCTGGAGAACAGCATAACGCATGAAGAGAAGCTGATGATGTAGAGTACATACCTGCTCCTGTGTTCGGCACACAGACCTTCTTACCATCACACACACACACACACACACACACACACACAGACTCTCTCACACACACACACACACACACACACACGCACACACACACACGCACACACACACACGCACACACACACACGCACACACACACACGCACACACACACACGCACACACACACACGCACACACACACACGCACACACACACACGCACACACACACACGCACACACACACACGCACACACACACACGCACACACACACACGCACACACACACACGCACACACACACACGCACACACACACACGCACACACACACACGCACACACACACACGCACACACACACACGCACACACACACACGCACACACACACACGCACACACACACACGCACACACACACACGCACACACACACACGCACACACACACACAGACTCTCTCACACACACACACACAGACTCACACACACACTGACTCGCACACACACACTGACTCACACACACACACACACACGCACACACAAGCACACACACACACACACACGCCTTAAGCATTATTCTGAGCTGAAGCCTTGGTCGAATATGAGCATATAGAATTGTGGGTATTATCTGTCATTAATCCTGCAGTTAATGTGGGGCTTTAGTCTCCGTCAGTGACCAAAACCGAACGGCACAACGAGAGCTGAGAGAGTTATTAAAAATAACAAGGGATCCGAGACATTCTCATAATCAATCAAAGAGATAAGATTCTCGCCGCATTTGGTTCCACGGCGCTGCAAGCAGCCTCTGTTCTCGCACATGCACGCTCGTGTAACACAATAATTAAACTGACATGGAATAATTCAATTATCTTTATAGAATATGGCAAGTAAAAAATTAACTGCAGATGTGTAATTGCTTTCAAAAACTGTTATCCAAGAATAACAATGATCTGACATTTCCGATGTCAGAGAAAGTGCAAGAAGATAATTGGGCTCATGTGTCCTCGTGCTGGAGGCTCAGTGAGACGCTCCAAACCTTCAGACGCTCGGATGACATTTCAGCAACATGCTGGACCACAAAACAGCAGAAAAATCTCATGGACACGAACACCCTAGCAACCACATAGCAACACACTAACACCTGCTCAGAACAACTGAGAAAATGCATAGCAACAGCTTGGCAACCACTCCGAATCCTCTAGAAACTAGCCACAACACCTACAACACCCTAGCAACCTCTTATAACCAACCATAACACCCTAGCAACCACTCCCAAAATCCTAATAACATCCTAGCAACCACAATACCCTAGCAACTGTTCCCAAAACCCAATAACACCCTAGCAAACACCTATGGTCAAATACAACACCCTAGCAACTGTTCCCAAACCCAAAATAACACCTTAGCAACCACAGCACCCTAGCAACTGTTCCCAAACCCCTAATAACACTCTAGCAACCACAATACCCTAGCGACTGTTCCCAAAACTCAATAACACCCTAGCAACCACCTATAGTCAACCACAACACCCTAGCAACTTTTTTTCCAAACCCCTAATAACACCCTAGCAACCACCTTTTGTCAACCACAGCACCCTAGCAACTGTTCCCAAACCCCTAATAACACCCTAGCAACCACAACACCCTAGCAACTCTTCCTCAAAACCCTAATAACACCCTAGCAACTGTTCCCAAAACCCTAATAACATCCTAGCAACCACAATACCCTAGCAACTGTTCCTAAAACTCAACACCCTAGCAACCACCTATAGTCAACCACAACACCCTAGCAACTGTTCCCAAACCCCTAATAACAGCCTAGCAACCACAATATCCTAGTGACTGTTCCCAAAATCCAATAACACCCTAGCAACCACCTATTGTCAACCACAATAACCTAGCAACTGTTCCCAAACCCCAAAGAACACCTTAGCAACCACAGCACCCTAGCAACTGTTCCTCAAAACTCTAATAACACCCTAGCAACCACAACACCCTAGCAACTGTTCCTCAAAACTCTAATAACACCCTAGCAACTGTTCCCAAACCCTAATAACACCCTAGCAACCACAATACCCTAGTGACTGTTCCCAAAACTCAATAACACCCTAGCAACCACCTATAGTTAACCACAACACCCTAGCAACTGTTCCTCAAAACCCTAATAACACCCTAGAACAAGTTCAATCTCACAACCTGTGATATGGAAAACAGGTGAAAAGACCCCAAAGCACACAAATACAACAACAACAGCGCCACCATGAACCTCTCTCACTCTCATTACATTGAGCTGCTTATATCACAAGACGGCCCTAACAGCCAAGAACACAGCGAAAGAACAACTTAAATGAATGCTGTTTGCCTGCAATGACAGAAAGTACTTCAGCATTAAACTGCAGGACTGTGTTCAATATCCAGACTCATTCGTGCTGGATCAGATGCAGCTCCATCCACAGATCCTGCTTGGGGAAGGTTTCGTGGAATAATGAGAGTCTTACGGTTGTTCGGTCATCTTCACTTACCGTTTACCGTCCTGGAAGACACAAGCTTTAACAGCGTTACTGAAGAGCTGCATGACACCTAAGAAGAGCACTTCATCATCAACACAGACACAACCACACACACCGCTGGAGTTACTATCACTTCAATGGGTCCAGATCTGAAAAGACACTGAATTGAAGGAGGAAAAGAAGAAAGAGGTAAAAAAAAAAGGCAGAAATCTAAAACACAAATCCCATCCAGTCTGGTTGTGGCTCTGACTTCTGCTTGTTTTTAGGTACTTGTGGACATACACATCACACACACCAATGCATTTCACAATGACACATAGATGGACAGACGGATGGATAGATGGAGGAAGGGAAAGATGAATATAAACAGAATCGGGGGGATTCAACTGTTTGTGCCACTTTTGTGGCCAAAAACCTTCATATTCACTAACCAGCAGTCCAGCACTGCACCAGGAGTACATGATTGTCATTCTGTTCAGTGCAAACACACCTCATGATAACATTTTGACTATGTTTGAGCCATTATCTGATTTGAATAAACACAAGACAGCAAGTGCAAATGAACGACGCTATCGGCACATGACATTCACTCTTGTTGAATTCCCCCGCATCACTGGCAGCCATGATGAAACAAGTTTGTTGCATTACTCTTTCATTTCCTCTCTGAAAGTGACATCTGAGCAAATAAACTACAGATTAATCAGTGCGATTCATCCTCTGCACCAGCCCTGTCTCTTCCCATCCAGACCAACAGCCTGTAAGAACCATCAAAACCGATCTAGAGTCACAGGTCACTGCAGCAGAACGCACTGTCTGACTGCAGCTGTGGATGGAGAAACCGAGGAAGGGCTGGCGCAGAAAGATGTTACTGCGTCACACACCGAAAGAAACGTCCTGTCAGGTAAAGTATGCTTCATGTGGTAACAACACCTCAATCAACTGGTTCTCAGTCAGAAACACAAGACCAATCTGGTTACACCAGTCAAAGTCTTTATAAGGGCTCTCACACATACTTGCTTGCGCCGTGCGTTGGTTGACCTCGTTGGTGAACGCGCCGATACCTTTGTTGGAAACGGCAGCCAGAGAGAAGCTGTACTCGGTGTTGGCGCGCAGACCCTCCACCACATACGAGGTTCTGGGCTCAAAATTCCTCTTCTCCTGTTTGTTTGAAAGATTAAAGACTCTTTCAACACAACGCATTTGAAAACACCACCATTATTCCAACAAGTTGATGGCAATACCATTGAAACCTCAAGTGTTTCTCAGTGGAGCACGATCTCACCTGAATGCCGAGCTCTGGAGCTTTGTAGATGAGTTCGTAGGCTTTCACGGGCTCTTTGGAGTAAGCAGGTTCCCAGGTTAACTCGACGCTGGTGTCGGTCACTTTACCCACCTGGAACTTCCCTGGCTGCCCAGGAACTGAAACACAGATCAGAAACGCATTAGAAACCTGCGTTAAATTAGCGCATGCCATTCATTAATGGAGCGGCACTAAAGGAACCGTGCAGAAATATTCAGATTGTACTATAATTGATTTCAAGCATTCTGTGGCACTCCTCTGAAGTCCAGTCATTCCCATAGGAATCTGTGCGATCCCGTGAGGGCTAACCAGTTCACCACGCAGATTCAGCTCATGTTCGAGTTGGTTCCCTACAACTCACCTCCAGGTCTGACTTTGACGTGGACGGGGTCAGAGAAGGGCCCATCTCCCACGGACGTGAACGCCAGCACACGGATGGTGTACGTCTCGGACGGCACGAGGCTGTGGATAGTCGTTATCATGCTGTCCTGAACATTGTGGATCTGCCAGTTGCTCATCGGCTGCGAAGGGTCCATGGTGTAATAAACTCGATAGCCCTTGATCAAGCCGTTGGGCTCCTCTGGCTCGTCCCAGCGCACCATCACTGCGTTCTGTGATAAGATGCGCGCCTGGATGTTCCGCGGCGGGCTGGCGGGCGCTTGCTCTCCGGTCCGAGCTTCCACTTTGTTGCTGGGTGTCCCCTGGCCGATGGTGTTGACGGCGGACACGCGGATCTCGTACTCGGTGTTGGGGTACAGGCCGCCGATGCTGTAGCGGGTGGTGGTGATGGAGTCCACCGTCTCGTACTTGCTGTCTGGGGATTTGGCACGGTACTGGATGATGTAATGGGAAACAGGGTCGGGGTTACCAGAGTCCCAGGTGATGGTGACGCTGGTGGGGGTCGTCTCCGTGACGACGGGGGTGCCAGGAGCTCTGGGCAAAGCTGCAAAGAGAGCAGAAAACTGCACTGCTCAAAGGTTGATCATTCCTCAGGAGATTCACAGTTAAGTTTGAGATCTCTTCTGAACTCTACAGGAGATACACCAGAAATTAGGGGTCTAAAAAGCAGATTTCTCCATCTCAGGGCTGTCTAGGTAAAACAAACAAGATATCATGAGATTAAAATGGACTGCTTACAGAATGTCTGGAAACTCATGATGTTGTTTGCATTTACTTTTCAGTCAGTAACGAAGCCCACTTTGTGTCCACACACACATTTAGAACCTTTTCTCTCTTCGTTAGACTGGATAAAATGAGATATTCGTTCCATCGACCCAACAAGCTCTAAAATACATACACATTCTGCAACTGACCGATTAACTTTTTCTAACCAATGGCACAGAATATTTTACTTCCACATCACCTTCTGGAAAACATCCTGCATAGAATTTAGTTTGTACTTAGTGCACTTACTATATTGTTTATCTATGTTTGCACATTTTAGTCTTTTACTTTCATGCATTAAACTGATTATTTATATTTTCCATTATTACTCCCATTTTTGGGGGGTTGTTTGCTTTCTCTCCTGTTCATTATGCAGAAACAATGTGATAATTGCTCATTAAAAATGACCTTTCCTTACACTTAACAATAACTTGTGCCACGGACTCAATGATTCCCAGGCTGCTCATGGCGACGCAGGTGTAGTTGGCCGACTCGCGCACGCCGTTCAGCTCCAGAACGTTTCGTCCCACGGGCATCTCTTCCTCCGGCGTCAGGTCCTCAGAATTCAGCATCCACTTCACGTAGGGCATCGGAGAGCCGACCGCGACGCAGGTGATGTTCACGCTGCCGCCTGGCATGATCTCGTGGCTCACGGGAGGGATGGTGAAGCGAGGGGGAACGCGCCGAACTGGAGCACAAACACAAGGAAACAGAGGAGGACCAGGTAACAATGACAGAAAATGAACGTTCTGGTGAAAGACTCATATTCAAGCTGGCAATGCATCATTACAGCTAAAAGGACAAGTTGCTAAATATAAGCGCTGGCTAGCAGATGGAACGGAATAATACTGTGTAAGGAGCCGGAGAATCTGAATTCGAGCTAAAGGTCAAAGCCGTGTTTTCATACAAACTGACTAACGCGCCCATTTCTACAGGCGCATCTTTCCATCGTCTTCGTTAAGTTGAGGATGAAAAACACAAGCGAGAGAGGAGCGTTAAACGCAGACGCTTCTCTGTTTTCATTCCGAGCTCAGCTGGGAGGCAGAGAAACTGTAATGATGCATATTTATTAAAACCCGCTCTGTCTGAACCAGCTGTATTTCGGCCCGAGCTCCCTCCATTTCCCATAATCCTTTAGAAACCTGAGATGCTGCTGCCCTCAGGGACGATGGAGTCGACCCAGTGAAGCCCTTTCAAGCTCTGTGATCAATCGCTGCAGATATCGACTCTATAGACCCGTGCTGGGAAAGCAGGTGTTTGTTTGGGGCTGGTTTCATTCCCCGGTGGATCAAAGCGGAAGAGGAGGGCGTGATTGAGAGCTGCATGGGTCACCTGCATGCCTGAACACACCGCAGCAGTACGACACCACAAACAACGCTTCGAGGGAGATCTACAGCTAACACACAGAGCGTATGTTCAGCACACGTAAACGGAACAGCCGTGAAACATTTCTGCACCTACTAGTCAATATGTTAACTAGTGTGTGTGTGTGTGTGTTGTGCGATTATGAATTTGTGTGCATTAAAACTGACTCACCTGCACAGCACACTGGTGCCTGCAAGGCCTTAATGATGAAATATAAAATGCCATTTACAGCGAAAGAACAATCAAGCATCCTCTGCCAGGCAAATATGCATTTAATTATAATATAATAGCGGCCAAAAGATAATGATGGATTCAGTGGAGAAAAGCACCATTAACCCTGAGCACATGACCTGCCATTTGATCTGTTCTTGGGCCTTGAAACAAAAACGTTGAAAGGAAAAGGCAGGGTGATCCTCTAAAATGATTTAGTAATTCCTGAAGTGAAGTTTGGTCAGGCGGCATGTATAGCCTGGGTTCACAGAGGCTGTGTGTGTGTGTGTGTGTGTGTGTGTGTGTGTGAGTCTGCCGCTATATTCTACGACAAATCAGATTCTTCTGCAGCAGAAAGTGATGCTCAGCAGGGAAATACTGTGTTTACTCCTGGAAGATCTACATCTGACTGCGGAAATAAATAAATAAATAAAAGAGACAGCGAGCAAATGTGAGAAACGATGGAAGTTATGCTAATCCACTGAGTTAACGTGGAGCGCTGCCAACCCCGCATCCAGAAACAGAGATGAAATGCATGAGAGAGAGAGAGAGAGAGAAAGAGGAAAGAGAGAGAGGCGGTGTGAAATCAGCAGGTCATTGTAGGATTGAAAACATACAGTGAATCAGAGACGAGACGCTCGAGCCCACAGACAGAGAGAGAGAGAGAGAGAGAGAGAGAGAGAGAGAGAGATGAGCCGGACAGAAACAAAGAACCAGGGCAACAGGAAACACTCAGAAACCGGAGACGCTTAAGTTTCAAACAATCGCTGATGTAAACGAGATGTGTGCGGGTGGATGCAGCTCCTATGTGGTTGCAAGTGTACTGAGTGGTTGCTAGGGTGGTTCTATGTAGAATCTGTTGCTAGGATCTTCTGGGTGGTTGCTAAGGGTGTTAAAGTATCATTTATCTCTGGAGCGCTGACTTAACGGCATTGTTCACCCAAAAATGATCAAGCTGTCATAAAGATATTATTCAAAGAAATGTCTTGTTCATACTGTCAGCCCAAATCCGATTGAAATCCGATCATATTTAGATAATCTGAACGTCAACAAACTACATGAAATCCGACTGTATTGCTGTTATTGTTGTTTTTAGCGTAGGCATAACAATGCTGCGGCATTGCCATAAACCAGTGCAGATATTCAGTAAAACGAAAGAGCGCTGCGGTACACAGTGTGGAGAGTCAGTCATCTAGATCAGATTTCAATCGGGAATGCACGAAAATGGGATTTGGGCTGACAGTCTGAACAAGGCTAAAGTCAAACATGTTCGGAACGACATGTACTTGAGGACAGAATGATAATTTCTGGGTGAACTATCCCTTTAACAAAGAGCACGAGTGAATCTCATTATTTGCCATCAACTCTGTGCTTTGCATGAGACTGTGTGGTCATAAAACAAGCAAAATGTGAGTAACATTTAATATAACAATGAAATAACGATCAAAGAAGCGCAGCAGTTCAATCAGGAGCTCATTTGCTGTCGCTGTAATGTTGACTAATTCAATGAGCTGTTTCATTCACATCAATAGAAGCACAGACAGAACATAAGCCACGTTAAGATGCGTCTGAAGCCCAGGTTCTTGTTTCTTCTGCTTTAGAGATAACGTCTGAGCAAAGCTTTCTCGGATGCCGAGGCTTATGAGGATTCAGCACACAGGATCAAGTTCTGAAATCTACGACTTCAGCAAAGAGGAAAAAATCCACCTGAATAAAGCTACAACTGCATCAGCTAGCGATTTAGAGCTAAACGCATCTGATCAAACCGATCTCTGACAGAGACGAAACAATCAGATTCCAGTAGCACATGAAATGTTTCTTTACAATAAAATGTGCAACTGTAAAAGTGAATTGAATTGCAGGTGAGCATTGACCAAAGGACACCCAGAATTGGACACACTCATATTTCAGATGAAACATAATGGCTAGATCTTCACAGTCATTAGATGCAGTTAATCAGAGGCTGTTAATGCGGGTTAGTGCATGCACTCGTGCAACCATAACCATGCAACACCAGCAACATGCAAAGTTTCAGGTGCATCATGCACAAGAAGTGCTCAACATGTGGATTCAATGGAAATATTATGTCTTATCATGGGTTACTGATGATTGTGACTAAACCCGTCTGTTCTGCCTAACAGGGTGAATATCTGAATATCTGAATTTAAATCACCTACTACGAGCGTCTATTGTGCAAAAATCACTTTGCGGCTCTTAAAAGCTTCGGCTTCCAGCGAGACGGGAACAATAACCTTGGGTGGTAACAGCACATTTGATCTATGCAACAATGGGGACTGCTGAATTGGATTTGCCATTGTTAGTCGAGCCCATTACAATGAATTATCTAAACACAATCTTTCCTCTCGCTGAAAGAAGAAGCAGAGCCACAGCGTATTGACTTACAGTGCTAGCGCACAAACACGGCGCCACATTAAACCATCTGCGGCCCCGAATGACATCACCTCGTCATCACTCATGAGTCGATTAAACACGGGGGACTCTAATGAGACGCTTCTGTTCTCACGACTGCGGTCCCTGAATCAGATCGCTGCATCAGAGACACGTTCTTCAGAAGCGCAGAAGAGGTTTGCTCGCTCTTTCTTCTCCTCCTCCAGAGCGCTGCATGTCACTCACGATCTGTCCCACAGTCGACTCGCCTTTCAACAGTTTTCCAGGAGCAGAAACGGCTCGAGCGCTTCATCACGCTGACAGAATGAAAATAGGCCACTCTCTGACGACAAACAGACTTTTCCTAAAAAAAAAAAAACCCTGAAACATTCCATTAAAACAGACGACACTTCATGCAGCTCATGCGCAAGCAGCGAGAGAAAGTGACAAAGACAGACGAAACAAAGACACAGCGAACAACTGCGAAGCTTCTCTACGAGACTCTGACATCACACTGAGTTTATGGAGCTGATAAAGCCTGCTGGGATTGATGACGAGAGCACAGGTGATCTGGGATTATAACTCTGATCCCGGCATGCTGTGAACGGCTGCTTGAAACAGTCAAAGTTTGGGAAATAATCCTGATATTTAGAGAGTTTTGTTGCTGTAGTGCCACGTAAAGTAAGACTTTACGTCTGTTGATGAACTTTCAGCAAAGACTACTGGTTGAACATCACGTGGTTAGCCTTCAGATTCAGATTCTATGCCTATAACAGTAACTGGTCATTATAACCATTAATTTACAACCAGTGCTGGGGTAACACATTACAAGTACGTTATCAGATTACTTTTTCAAGTACTGAGTAAAGCATTACTTTTAAATGCACACTAAAAAGTTACTTTTTCAATTGTTTTCCCATTAACGTAACAAAAAAAGTAACTAAGTAACACAATTGGTTACTTTTTTATGGAGTAATGCAATATCGTAATGCATTACTTTCTAAAGTAACTTAACTTTCCTCAACACTGCGTACAACTGATGATTATCAGTCATAACTGAGCTGTTGAACTAGCCAGAATGAGATATTAGAAAGAATAACTGAAATACAATCCAGATCCATACATGGTGTTTATGCACAAAAATACGATACTTGTTTATTAAACCAACAGTGGTCCAAAAATGATGTTCACTTCAGTCAAGTCTATGGGTGTCTG